GATCCTATCCCCCAATCAGTCACATGTACCAACAGACAAAATACTGCCCCGTCCACCCTGAATGCTTCGGCCTGCTAACCATGGCAAAAATTTGCTGGGGTTTTATTGGAAGAACATTGCTCTCCCTGTCATAAGCTACAAAGCTGTTAAACCATTTTATCTCATTTCTTCCCTTCTGAGAAGACAGGCTTATACAACATGGGGAATCCAGACGTTTGGAAGTCAGGTCAAGCTTCAAATCCCACCTTTGTCTATATAAGCTGTGAGACTTGAACAAATTTCCTACCCTCTCAAAACCTCAGTTTCAATCTGTGATATAGAAATAGCAAAAGCTGCCTTACAGAGTTACCAAGAGACTCTAGATGCAGCAGTGACTCGAGAATGTCCAATCCTGAGCCTGCTTCACAGTAGGCACACACGCAAAAGTTAGTTCCCATCACTTCCCCTACGCCAGAGAGAGTCAATGGGGAAGCAAAAACCCAGCTGCACCTGGTGGGAAAGGAGGAACTGAAAGGGGATAAAGGGACTGTAAGAGGAAACAGAGAGGGTGACACAGACTAACTTCACCAGCACTGCCCCCACGCTCCCATCTCACCACGGCCAGCCTTAATCTCACATGGAAATGAGAGATAAAGTGTCTGTGTGTCAGATAGAAAGTACAAATTCAGCGCATCTGACGCAGAAACTAGGCAAAGTTGCCCAGAGTCGATAATAAATATAATCGCCTTGATCTAATTCAGACAGAGACCTCAGGGTTCGTTCAGTCACTTCCCGATGAGGGTTCTCCTATGGTCAGAAGGAAGTCTGCTCTGGCCTACACGTGATGGTGGCTAATGGTTTTCTAGATTAATGTCCCATGTGATTTTCTTATGAATGAGTTACTTCTTCTTATAAGGTGATACATGACTGACAGTGCTGCTCCCTGCTCTCTACAAGCACTTTGAGAAACAAAAAGATATTCAACCAAACCCTGATCCATGTTCCTGTCGGTCTTCCTTTTCAAGGTCGGGGCACTTTCATCTACAATCAGTCAACAAATATTTATTAAGCCAGGGAAGACTTGCTGTGTCAGGCACTGTGGGCGACAAGAGAGGCAGTGGAGTTCATAGGTAGAATCCACTGTCAATTAACGTAACCAGCTGAGCCCCAGGAGCCCCACCTGTAGGAAATAATTAACCAAGGAAACAAAACAAATTCATACTGCAGTGATGGTGTACTAGAATGTCCCCTGCCTCCAAGGGCTGACATAGGCTCAAATACAACGGCACTGAGAAAACTCCCAGCACCAGGATGTGTGTTTAACAAATTAATTCTCCCTCCCCCTAGGACAAAAACTAGAGAGGAACAAGGTCAAAGCCAAGGCTGTGGAGAGTCACAAGGAGGAGGTGATCAACTGCAAATGCTGCTGAGAGATTTTGACAAAAAGGAAGTCACTACTGACCTTTTCAAAAACTGTTTCTTAAGTGTGATGAAGATCAAAGCCACTTAATTGCAAAGAGTTTAGGAAAGGAAGACACATCTCGCAAGTGTTGCCTATAGGCCTAGAGAGTACAGTGTGAGAGGCTTGAGAGGGAGCAGGAAGGGCAAAAAAAACGAGGTCATTCTGCTTATTTTTTTTCCCCCAGGCTCCGTTTAAATAGGATATTTCTCTGCAGAGGGGGAAAATTTTAAATATTCCAGAACCTATCACAAGGATAAGCTGCAGTCAACACAGTAACCGCATGGCCCCATGCCTCCAAGGAACTCAAAGATAGGTTGAATCAATTACCTTTTTTTGTTTTGTTTTGTTAAATCAAACAATTCTAAATAAAATAAAATAGCTTCCTCGAGATTTTTAAAAACAACAAATAGATTTCTTGATTTCATCACAATTCTACAAAGAAGCAAAACAAGATAGAATCTGATTAGTTTTATTCAGAAGAAACAGGGTACTTTTACCTTAATTCCTAATTCCTCTCACAAATTATTAAGAGTTTACACTTCAAATCAATAAATAGTGACTCCTTTTATTGACTTATTATACCCTTCGTATTGCTGAGTAGATAATATTTATTAAAATATTTTAAATATTAAAATATTTCTGTAATATTTACAGAAAATATAAAGATGTTCATGGCAAGCCTTTTGCCCTCACATTTTTAACTTAATAATGAAGACAAAATGTAAAAATAACTTGTAGGTAAAGGTCACTTACAGAGGCCAGTGTGACCTATTTAATAAAGGGCTAAAGATATTCATTAAGAAGAAAAAAAAAGAGAAAATCCTTTTGGACTGGACTGGAGGAATTCAGAAGTTTTCTTAGAGGAAATGGATATTAAGTTGGGCTTTGAAAAAAGCATTTTTATCTAAAGAAAATGTGGCTGGGCTATAGACTGGGAGGAAGGAGGTGCCGTGGCTTTTGAACCCAGCCAGGAGGTGCTAATGAGAAAAGCCAAGGGGAAAGGAGCATCCTGGACAAGAGATGAAAACAACTTTGAAAATAGTCCAATATCTTACATCAAGGAAAGGAAACTACAGACCAATATCCCTGATGAACTTAGATGTAAAAATACTCAATAAAATATTAGCAACTTGTGTTTAATAACATATTAAAAAGACTGCACACCAAGACCTAGCTGGTTTGTTGCAGAGATGCGAAGATGGTTTAATAATGCAAATCAATAACTGTAACTCATCACATTAACAGAATTAAGGACAAAAATCACTTAGTAATTTCAATAGATGCAGAGAAGGCCTTTGACAAAATTCAGCACTCTTTCATGATTAAAAAAAAAAAACACGGAAGAAACTAGGGATAAAGAAACCTACATCATAAAGGCAGCATATGAAAATCTCAAAACCAACCTCATAGTAAATGGAGAAAAACTGAAAAGAATTTCCTTTAAATTTGGGACAAGACAAGGATGTCCACTCTAATTATCCCTATTTAATATAATGATAGAAATTCTAGCCAGAGCAATTAGGCAAGAGAAGGAAATAAAAGAGATATAAATAGGAAAAGAAGAAGTCAAATTATCACTGTTTGCAGATGATTTGATCCTTATACCTAAAAGATCCAAAAACGCCACCAAAGACTGCTACAGCTACTAAACAAATTTGGCAAAGTAGCAGGTTATAAAATCAACATATACAAGTCAATAGCTTTCCTATATGCCAACAACAAATCTGCTGAGAAAGAAATCAGGAAAACAATCCATTCACAAAAACCTTTAAAAAAATCAATAAAATATGTAAGGATAAATCTAACCAAGAAGGTGAACTTCTACAATGAAAACTATAAAACATGGAAGAAGACTTCAGAAGATGGAAAGACCTCTCATGGTCATAAATAGGCAGAATGAATATTGTTAAAATGTCCATACTACCAAAAGCAATTTACAGTTTCAATGCAATTCTCATCAAAGTACTAATGACATTCTTCATAGAATTTCACAGAAAAAAACAGTCCTAAAATTCATTTGGAAGAATAAACAATTAAGAATAACCAAAGCAATTTTAAGCCTAAAAGGGCAATATCTGACTTCAAATTGTACTACAGAGCTACAGTAACTAGCTGGCATAAAAACAGACACATAGATCAATGTCACAGAATAGAAGACAGAGACAAACCGATACAGGTACAATCATCAGATCCTTGACAAAAATGCCAAAAACACACATTAGAGAAAGACAGTCTTTTAACAAATGATGCTGGAACAACTTGTTATCCACATGTAGAAGAATGGAACTAGACCCTATCTCACACCCTGCACAAAAATCAACCCAAAATGGATCAAAGACCTCATAACTACACCACAAACCATGCAACTTCCAGAAATAAATATAGAGTCAGCACTCCAGCTTTTAGGCACAGGCAACGACTTTCTCAGTAGGACCCCTAAAGTTCAGGAAATAATGCCAAGAATTAATAAATGGGTCAGCATCAAATTAAAAAGCTTCTGTACAGCAAAGGAAACAATTAAGAATGTGAAGAGAGGACCCACGGAATGCAAGAAAAAAATCTTTGCTAGCTACTCTTCTGACAGGGGACTAATATCTAGGATATATAAAGAGCTCAAAAAATGTACACACAAAAAAATCAAATAATCCCATTAATAAATGGCCAAATTAACTAAACACACACTTTTCAAAAGAAGAAATCCAAATGGCTGATAAATACATTAATAATGTTTAATATCATTAACAGTTGGAACTACCATGTAACCTAACTGCATCACTTCTTGACTGAAGAATTAAAGCCATCTTACTACAATGATGCATGCATACCCATGTTTATAGTAGCACAATTCACAGTAGCCAAAGTATAGAACCAGCCTAGATGTCCATCAACAGATGAATGGATAAAGAAAATGTGATACACACACACACTCAAAAAAAATTGTGTTTTATTCAGTCATAAAGAAAAATGAAATTATGTCATTTATAGACAACTCACTGGAACTAGAGATCATCGTGTTAAGCAAAATAAGTCAAACTCGGAAGATTAAGTATCATATGTTTTCTCTTTTATATGGAAACTAGAGAATTAAAAGGAAAACAAAAATGAGGGTGTATCTCCTAAAAATTAAAGGGAGATCATGAAGGAAAGGGACTAAGGGGTAGGGTGGGAGGGTAGGGAAGGAAGAGGGAAGTGCTGGGGAGTGATATTGGCCAAATTATATTATTACATTGTGTGCATGTCCAAATATGTAACAACAAGTCCCATCGATATGTACAACTATAATGCACCAACAAAAAACAAAATTGGGCGGGGGGACGGGGTGGGAAAGCCAGTCCAATATCTTCTTTACCAAAATGGACTTTACTCAATCCAAGCTGTCTAAATGTGTGCCTCTAGGCCTTTCTGTCTAATTCATTATTGTGTTATTACTCATGCCACTCTTTCCTAACTTCAATATTTCAGCCCTAGGGCCTGTTTTTTCCCATTGTACTCATAATGCAGAAAGAGGAAATAACTCATCCAGTGCTGGGGATTTCTTAGTGAGGGTTTGAAGAGAGATGCTGGGGGTGGCTGACTCGGCCAAAATGTTTCCTTTTTCTCCTGCTGTTTGCCTGATTCTGCTGTTGAGCAAGCCTGGTGAGTGTCATCAGTGTGCAATCTCATCTGATTTATCTTCCTTTACTCACTCAAACTCAGCCCTTTGCCTATTTTCTTCTGGTGTATTTGGTGTTTCACAACCTTTCACCTCTAAATGCCAAATAAGTGTGAGACATTTGTGTGTCTGGCATCAGATATTATTAATATTTTTATGTGCATAGTTTTTTTATGAATATTTAATTTTATCTCAATTGTTTTTACTAGTAATATTCTTTTTAAAGTTACTTTTATTTTTATTTGTTCTTTTGAGTTATACATGACAGTAGAATGTATTTGACATATCATATATACATGGAGTATGACTTCCCATTTTTGTGGTTGTACCTGATGTGGAGTTACACTGTATTCATATATGAACATTGGAGAGTTATGTCTGATTCATTCTACTGCCTTTCCCATTTCCATTCCCCCACCCACTCCCCCTATCCAATCCAGTGAACCACCCCTCCCCCCTCATTATGAGTCAGCATCTGCATATCAGAGAGAACATTTGGCCTTTGGTTTTGGGGGGATTGGCTTATTAGCATGATAGTGTCCTGTTCTGTTCAATCTATTTACTGGCAAATGCCATAATTTCATTCTTCTTTATGGCTAAGTAATACTCCATTGTGTATGGTTCTATATACCACATATTTTTTATCCATTCATCTGTTGAAGGGCACCTAGGTTGGTTCCATATCTTAGCTATTATGAATTGAGTCACTATACATATTGATGTATGCTGACTTTAAGTCCTTTGATTATGCCCTGAGGAATGGTACAATTGGGTCAAATGGTGGTTCCATTCTAAGTTTTCTGAGGAATCTCCATACTGCTTTCCAGAGTGATTGTTACAGTTTGCAGATCCACCAGCAAGGTAGAAGTGTACCTTTTTCCCCCACATCCTCACAACATTTATTATTACTTGTATTCTTGATAATTGCCATTCCAAGAGTGAGATGAAATCTCAGTATAGTTTTAATTTGCATTTCATTTTAATTTGCTAGAGATGTTGAACTTTTTTTATGCTTGTTGATTGATCATATTTCTTCTTCTGTGAAGTATCTGTTCGGTTCCTTTGCCCATTTATTCATTGAGTTATTTGGGTTTTTGTTTTTTATTTGTTTGTTTGTTTTTTGTTTTCTGGTATGAAGTTTTTTTAGTTCTTTATATATCCTAAAGATTTATGTTCTATCTGAGGTGCAGGTGACAAAAGTTTTCTCCCATTCTATAGGCTCTCTCTTCATGTTCTTTATTGTTTTATTTGCAGTGAGGAAGCTTTTTAGACCATACCATTTATTGATTCATGATTTTACTTCTCACGCTTTAGGAGTCTTATTGAGGGATTTGGTTCCTAAGTTGACATAATGGAAATTCAGGCCTACTTTTTCTAAGTAGGTGCAAGGTCTCAGGTTTATGCATAGGTTTTTGATCCACTTTAATTTGAGTTTTGTTCAGGGTGAGAGATAGAGGTTTAATTTCATTTTGCTGCATATGGATTTCCAACTTTTCCCAGAACCATTTGTTGAAGAGGTTATCTTTTCTCTAATGTATGTTTTTGGCACCTTTGTCTAGTATGAATAACTATATTTATGTGGGTTTGTCTCTGTGTTTTCTATTCTGTACCAATGGTCTTCATGTCTGTTCTGGTGCTAATACCATTGGCATTGAATAGAATAATCTCCAAGAAAAAGCACTCAAAGCTAGAGTGCTATGGCTGTGGCTATCTAGTATAACTCAATATTTTGCTTAGCCATTATATCATTTAAATTACATTTCCAATACTTCATGTATGTATGATATGTCAAAATACAATCTCAATTGTTGAGATTTCTTTCTCAATTGAGAAAGAGAAGTAAAAAGGTATAAAGAGGTAAAGGATATTTGAGCCAGGCCACTACAGAGCCAGAACTTTCCCCCTCCTTATCTACTCTCTGAAAGTTTATACATGGTAAAATATTTATGTAGAGTAACAATGAATAGAAATCCTTGCAGTTTTGCGAATTAAAAATAAATGAGTCAGTTTCCAAAAAAAAAAATAAATCCATTTTTCTCACAGATGCACATTCAAAACAATAAATTTCCAAGGTTTTCTGTTTTTCACCAAATCTCTCCTTTTTAAAATGCAGACCATCGAAATGAACATTCTTATAAGCTCCATAGAGTCCAGAGTGTCTCTTCCAGAGATCCATTAAAAAATTCCACACCAATAAACCACGGCTGCAAGTACAGGCGATGGACTATTTGGGCCTAATGAGATCCTAAAACTGACTTTCAATTACACAGATAGAGGAAATTAACTTTACAGATCAAAAACTGTTACACTGTCCTAGAGGCAGGCCACCTTGAGTACTTCTCCACCCAGTCAGCATAGGAAAGAGGCCTTTACAGCTCATCCTCATCAATCTGACATCTCCTAGATGAACCAAGAAAATGCCCCCTCTTCCCTCAATCATTCCTCTCTGCATCCATCTCAATAGGAAGAGAAATTCTTGGGTTTGGGTAGAGGCTTCTATACCTAAATTTGAGATCCAGTTATTAAACAAACATTGTTTGAGACTAATCAAAAATATATTTTTTAAAATGGCTCAATAAAACAGGTTAATACAAACATGAAGCAGTATATGGATACTTTCAACAGTTGATAGCTTTCATAGACCCTTTAAGACTGTGCAGGGACTCTAACTTTTGGGCAAAGAGCATGTTCTTTTGGGAAGCTTTTTTTTTTTGTACTGAAGATTGACCCCAGAGGTTCTTTACCACTGAGATACATGCCCACATCCCCAACCCTTCTTATATTTTCTGTTGAGACAGGGTCTCCCTAAGTTGCTTAGGACCTTGCTAAGTTGCTGAGGCTGTCTGCAAACTCAAGATCCTCCTGCCTCCACCTCTCACAAAGAACATTCTTAAAACGTTCATTGAAACTGGGAGAGACTGCAAATGCATTAAAACATTTCCAGGACCTGCCTCTATTTCCCTGAACACACTCTTCACTCTACCTATTATCTTTGTATGTACATATCTTCTGCCACAAATACTGAAAAGGGTCAAATCCTGGGAAGTCGCTAGTTGGCTGTCAACATCCAAAGGAAGCACCTGCTGTAAGAGGTTTCCTGTCTGAGGCCATCTTCTCTTGCCAATTTGTTGCTGTATTCACAAAGCCTTCAGTGGTGCCTGGGCCTTAGTAGGAACTCAATAAATACTTGTGGAATGTTAAAGAATTAACAAATAAAAGTTCTCATTGTTGATGAAGTGCTCCTTTAACTGCCTGCCTTGCCACAAACCAGCCTTGTCCCGACCACTGGTCTCTGTTCTCTCTGAATCCTTGCCCTGTGTGTCCTAAGGGTTTCCTCAAGTATTTCTCAACTTTCAAGTTCTCAGCCTGGGTTTGGCTCACAGACGCTGACCAGACCAGCAATCTTTATGCCTGTCTTAGAATCAGGCTGTTTACTAAAGTGACTTCAGGACTTCACTACTCATAGTCCTAAATTCAAGAGCTACAGTGACGGAAGACCATTAAAAAAAGAAAAGAAAGTAGAATTTGGGAGCAAGAGTTACTAAATGTAATAGCTAGTTCCAAGATGAGTCTCCTGGTATCCAAGCCCTTGTGAAATCTCCTCTCCTTGAACATGGGCTGGGCTTAGTGCTCACTTCTAACACATTGAATGGGGGTAAAGGTTAAAAGATGTCACATCCAAATTTAGTTATAAAAGACTACTGCTTCTCTCTACCCCACCCTGCCCCTTGGATCACCTGCTCTCAGGCAAGCAACCATCATGTGGAGCAGCCCCATGGTGAGCCCTGTCAGGCACAAGACAGAAGCTTCTAGTCATGAGAAGCTGAGATGTGCCAACAATCTCCTGTGCCAGCCGGAGGTAGGTTCTTCAAGCCAAAACAATCCTTGAAAGGACTGCAGACCTGACTACAGTCTCCTAAGAGACTGAACCAGACTCACTCAGTTACAGAAGCCTCGGTTTCTGATGCACAGAAACTATGAGATACTGACTGTTGGTTGTTTTAAGCCGCCAGATTCGAGGGTTATTTGTTACATAGCAAAACATAATTAATATGCTAAACTAGAGGTTAGCAGCTCCTATCTTAAAGGGCCAGATAGTAAATATTCTGAGATTTTTCTGGCCATATGTATCTATTGCACTCTCCGATTCTGCCATTATAGCTCAAAAACAACAAGAGACAATATGCAAATGAGTAGATATGGCTACGTCCCTATAAAACTTTATTTATGAAAACAGTTCAGCCAGCTTGCAGGCTATCATATGCCAACACTCGCTCAAAACCATTGCATTTTTCAGTCTTTGTAGTTTCTAATGTGTTGTTGTCCTGCAACTCTTCCATCAAGAGGGAAATTGAGCCATTTCAGATAATAGCATGTCTTTTCCAGTGTGAAGAAAAGAGCCCTCCCACTAAGATTTAAAAAGTGAAGCTGGTACCTAGAGGAAAGGAAAGAAAGATGCAGGGAAAGAATCTTCCAAGGTCAAGAAGGAGAAGAAATCTACAGTTTTGAACACAAGAGAGTTTAAGAAGAGAACAAAGGGAAGCTGCGTGAGAAGGTCGGATTCCTGGTTTTGCACACCACAGGAAAACACTGTGCACAGACGGGGGAAAATGCTTCAGGTACAATCAGATAGGAACAGGAATCTCGACACAAAATGGCCCAAAACTCAGGGCATATATTTGTTAGAAGAGCCTCCCGTGGATTGGGCATAGCATGCAGAAGATGTTAATAGCTCTCACATGGAATGAGCCATGGCAGAGTGAAAGGAATCCACTTGGACAGCAGAGTCCAAGGCTGATTATGGATTGGGCCTCAATGACCATAGGCAATGGCAGGGTCTAGGTTAAGCCTCAAGGGACAGATTACATATTTACTTCTTTCTCCTCTCTAGAAAGGATCCTCTGTGACTCTTATTTTCCTTTTCCCCAAATCACCCCTCTCCCAGGGCAGACACAAAAGTTAAGTAGGACCAGCTATAATATCAACACATTTAGCAGAGGCCACCAAACAAAGATAAATGGAAACAGATCCATAACCAGAGGCTGCTCATAAATAAATCAACTTTCCCACATTTCCAGGAAGACACATGGGGCCCCTTCCACCCTGTTTGCCTGTGAACCATCTTTGAAAGAACAGAAGAAAGGACAGGAAATCTGGAAGAGCTACATTTTACCCAACAGTGACGGAGCAACCTCAACCTCCTTTGAAATAGGAAAGGATTGAAATACTTACACTTCATAAGTGTACAGTGCTTTCCCTGACAGCTAAAGGGATGGAGGCTCAGGACAAAGTGTAGCTCAGTCACTGCATTTTGTTTTCTACTACAGCCCAAACAAATTGCTACAAATAGAGTGGCTTCAAACAACACAAATTTATTCTCGTACAATTCTGTAGGTCAGAAATCTCACAGGATCTTACTGGTCTAAAATCACCAGGGCTGCTTCTTTTCTCTCCAGAAAGGAAAAGATCTTAAGGGAGAATAATGTCCCTTTTTAACTTCTAGAGAAGACTGGCATTCTTTGGTTCATGAGAATCTTTCTTAGCATGTTCCCCTGGAACCTCTTTCTCTCCCTATCTTGAAAGGGCTCACCCCTTCTGAGGATCAATGTGATTAGGTTGAGCCCACCACCTGCCAAAGAAGGTAGCCTATCCACAAGCTCGAGGCATGAGAACACAGACATCTTTGCAGAGAGATGGGGAGAACACTCCATCTACCATAGTCATAGAAAATAAATGCTTTATTTAAATTCAGTTGATGGTATGAATAAATGTGAGACCCTGATGATAGTAACCAGCATTTAAGTATAATTTATTTTCCACACATTTTGTAATTTATAAACCTTCCAAACACAACACATACTATAAGAGTAGCTAATTCCTTTCACGGAACTAACACTGAATTAAAAATTCAGAAAAAAAATGCATAGATTATGTCAATTTGAGGCAGCAACATCACCCAAGAAAAATCCAAGGGCTCCCACAGATGCATATCTAACTGAAAATACATTTCCATGTAGAATTCTGCCCAGACTATGAACCTTTTGCAACTGGTGATGGACAGATAAGACTTGCAGAGGAAGAAACTTAGATCTCCCTGGTTTGCTCCAATGAGAGCTTAATGAATCCATATGATCCAACATTAAATGAGGTAGTCTTTTAACTTCTTAAAGGCACCAATCATTTAAGTCATACAGAAGAGTTTATCAAATTATCACCATCAGCTTTAAATTATGGACACTCTAAATTAATAGTACCAATTATTACCATTAATGAGTATATATTACTTGAGCATTTTGTGCTAATTTCGTTAAGTTGGAGGGCTTGCTTTTTGTTTAGGGAGTTTCTGTTTTTTCAGATAAAGAATATTATCTAAATGGAAGCTATGAAAATTATCATTGTTATTCTTTTTTAGATGTTGATGGACCTTTACTTATATGTGGTGCTGAGGATAGAACCCAGTGCCTCACACATGCTAGGCAAGTGCTCCACCACTGAGCCACAACCTCAACCCATCGTTGTTATTCTTTTAAAGCCATCTGTTATTGTTAGAACTTTCAGAAAAGATGTTCAGATGTTTGATCATTGATTCAGAGAAAATGCACCCATGTTGAATATGACTGTCTTATCTTAAATAAGTTTTCAAATATCAGGTTTATCTGAAAGTAGCCAGGTCTGCAAAAACAATATTCCAGATACAGAGAAGGAAACAGTGCATCTGACACTGAGCATAGTTGGAAAATCTTCAATAGAAATGAAATGTTTGAGGTGCATATTGGTTGTGATTATCATTGATGTTATAAACATTGATACACTTGTACTTTCCTGAGGTGCTGAGCTGCTGAAAATAAGTCCATTTTTATTAGAAAATCCTCCTCTTCAGGCAGTTGCATGAAGGCCTAAGCCTGATGTCTTTTTTGTTTGTTTGTTTTTTCCTCCCACTCCCCCCAGTGTCTTTTTGAACACTAATGGAATTTCTTTCTGTCTTTTTCCAAAAAAAAAAAAAAATCCTTTCTACACAATCCTCTACCTATCCTATAAAAACTTCCTCAAAAGGTGAGAAAAGATTAAAACATTATAGTCTTTTTAATTGTTGTCCACATTTCTGCAGATTCTCATCTTCTGTTGATCTGTCTACTCATCACTTGAAGACCTACAGAGAACAACACAATCAGGTAATTCAACAAAAACAAACTACATACAATGAGTGAGGTGGTGGTGTCCGGTGGACATTTAGTGTATATAAGACATTGTCAAGTAGCTGAACCAAATGTGGATATGATAAAAGAGAAAGTTCTAAAGAAATGCAAAATTGAACTTCACAAAAAATTCCAGAAAGGAGAGATGGCCCTACTGAACATTTAAAGGAAAAATTTAGTGCAACTATGTAGCATTTTAAATTGAGCCATGAAGATTCAGGAGGTTAATGATTTAGGGAAAGAGTTTACCAGAGTCATCAGGATCAGCAGTAAGAATTCCTGATTTTGCAGAGAATAATAAACAACACACAGATGTTCTCAACCTTAACAAACTGAAATAAATCAACTGTGAATTAGACCACACAGAGTTAGAAAGAGCATAAAGTTTGAGGGTTCAGGGGGTCTAATCACCAAGGTCATTTACTGATTTGATAACCTTAGAGCAACTACTTTACTTCTCTCTAAACCTTAGTTTAATCTTCTGTAAACATGGAATGTGGTAAAAACAAATCAGGAGAACTGTTTATATTTGTAATCAAAAAGCATAGATCCTAGTGTATGGCTGAGTTTGAAATAAATGTTATTTTGCTATATTATTATTGTAAAGTTTCTTCATAGCAAAAAATACCACAGACCTCAGTACTTCCTTATAAGTAGATAAATTTTCTCTTTTAAGATTACTCTGCATCTAACTTCTAAATTCTCTTTCTAAAATTAACTCTGGGATCTGGAGACTAGAATAATAGAAACCTCACATGACATTTTTCCAGGAGCAAGCTACTGAAAAACTACTAAATATAGCAAATATAAAGAGAAGGGAAATGGAAAACTATGGAATATAGGAAATATTGTGGCTATAAAATCATGAAGAAATCATGTGGCAAAAAATTCAAATGATAGAATTTCCTTAATTGCATTTATTTTAAAGAGAAATGTTTTAGAATACTGGGTTTTAAAAGATCTTCACATTTTGGCCCACTATTTCCTATTAAACTGGAACTTCACTATCAGTCCGCATACTAGAGATGTGTCATTATCTAAACAATCATTTCCATTTCAAAGAAATCCCAGTACTGTTTTTCTAACAGTTGAGCCATAACTGTGATGTTCCCATGGTTACCGAGAGTTCTAATTTCAGTTCCTCAATATGCGTTTTATCATGTTTGATTGTACAATACTTCAGAATAGTCTCCTCTTAGTTCCACATGTTCTTCTTTCTATTCTTTTTCTTCAATTTTCTCACACCCCATCCCTGTTGAAACTTCCCCTTTTGCTCTTTTTTTGGCTTAACTTTGTGTGCCCAACCTCTATGGTGATCATGTTTCGAGATAATCATTTCAGGGCAAAGAAAACAACGTTAAGGGGAAGGAAATGGGCCAAGATTAGAAGAATCGACTCCTCATCCTTCTCCATGGCACTAGATTTAACCTCATAAATCCAAGGCCCTAGATTTTTTCCCCATGATGGCAAGGAAAAGAGCAAGAAATCTAGACTATGAGATCCTCAGATTCAGCGATTCCACTTTATATTAATTTGAATTTCTCTACTATAATGAATTCTGATGCTCAAAGCTCTGGAGGTTGCTTTCTATAAACATTGAGGTCTTACCCCAGAGTCCACAAAATGGGATTCAGAGGAATTCATTAGGGGCCTGAAATTATGTGTCAAGATGGGGATATGAGTGCACTCGTGAGAGTGTCAACATGCAGCTGAGGCTTTTCACTTTAGTGGGAAGGAGGCCCATAGCCTTAATCAGATTCTCAGACATATCTGTATACCATAGATCGTTTAAGGAAATCATTTCTCTTGAGAAAAATCTGTGATTTAGGGAAGATCTCTGTGTTAGTCAGCTTTGTATGGCTGTGACCAAAATACCTGACAAGAACAACTTAGAGTAGTAAAAGTTTATTTTGGCTCACAGTTTCAGAGGTTTCAGTCCATATTCAGCCTACTCCATTGGCCCAGAGCAATAACATTTTATAAGTGTTGCAACATGAGGCCAAACATTATGGTAGAGAGAGTGCTGGGGCTGAGGTGGGGGACAGTTAAGCCCTTTTCTGGCACTCCATTAGACTTACTACCCCTAACTGGGTCCTACCTCCCAGTAGTCCATGCACTTGTCAATGAATTAATCCATCAAATGGACTGATGAGGTCAGAGCCCTTACAATCCAGTCATTATCTAAAAGCGCCACCTCACCTGTGAACAGTCCAGATTCAAACCATAGCAATCTCTGAAGGACCAAGTTGCTAATAAAAATAATTTATGTTGCATTCTAAAATTTGGAATGCATGTTTTGGAAAATCAATACAGAAATATGTAGTAGGACTCATAAAGATGTTCTTCCTCTTGGATCCAGCCATTGCAATGCAAGGAATGTTCCTGCAGGAAGCAAAAAATGTCAAAAAGTAGAGATGTTTGCTTCAATATTATAAATGATGGAGGAAAATTAGAACCCAGTATCAGAGACTGGATAAGCTAGTATTATGACATCAACACTTATGAAATGTTATAAGGCTATAACTACGGATACTCTGAGGAAAATATAAAAATGTATATGATGAAATATTAAATTGCAAAGTAAATAGGAGTATGTGTGATGTAAGTAAAACCAGGAAAAAAATGTAAACATTTGAAAAAAGAATTTGCAAAATAGTTGAACTAATGTGATTTTTGTTATTTTTAAATCCTCCCCAATTTTAATATGCTATTACATGTTGAATTAAAAATAAAACAGATTTCTGTTAAACATGGGGAATTTAAACATATGTCTTCATCATTTCCTTACCACACTCCATTAAAATAATACTAGGGAGATGGAAAAAAAAGACATAAACCTACAAAGAATATGAGGAAAGAGAATAAAATGACAATATCAAAACTTTAGAATCTATAAAGCCAACAAGTGGGGATAATGAACTTACTAAAAAAGGGGAAAAATTAAACATACCAATAATGGAGTAGGATAAGGAATAAGTTTATCAACTGTAAAGATTGTTGGAAAGTGTGAAAATCGAAGACTTCTTTTACCTCTGGACGGGGAGGGAAGAATTGGGCTGAAACAGGTAGATACTTAAAAGCAACTTCTGAATCAGAAAGCAAAAACCAGTTGCACCCAGATCTAGCAATCCGAACTTGCTTGGGGACCTCCCTTTCACCACCCAAGAAAAATTACTTTTTTATAGAGATTGAAGCAGAGATTGGAGCATACATCATGAAAGTCAAATTAGAAGTGACATACTGAAAATGAAACATTGAAATGATGGCTGACATACTGCATAGTAGGGCTCCATTTTCTGTACCAGCAACCAGTGAGGCCTTTTGGTAGGAAATCTTAGGAAAACCAACCTGTAAGAAAAAACTACAGACACTGATGGTTGTAGATCCTTCAGTGAAACATCCAATACAATCATACCAGAATGAAGCTTACCAGAGTCTGCAGTCAGCCTTCTGGTGCATCAAAGTTGTGCATGAGAGAAGACCCAGAGAGCACAAATATTTGAGGAAACTTCTAACAAACAATAGCAACCACACCAAACAATCACTAAAAGAAACCAGGAGAGATGAGAAAGTAGAGACAGAAAAACCCTTCCCCAAATAAATTATTACCCCAGCAGAGATAAATAATTGCTTCTATGGAACGGAAGGCAAGATATTATTTTTAATAGACTATTAAGACAAGGAGCAGTTCTTGATATTAAAAATATGATACAAAAAAAAAGTTAAAGTGTGGTAGAAGGATTAGAGGGTAAGGAAGAGAGCGATCCAGAAAGTAAAATAAAAGATAAAGAATGAACCAGAACCACAGGCCAGAATGTCCAACATTTAAGCACCAACAGATGCTTCAGAAGAAAAGAACAAAGAAAACACTGGGCAAGTTTTGTCAAAGAAATAATCTAAGAAAATTTATAAGAACTGAGCTTGCACGATTCTCAATACAATGAAGACCGGTCAATCTACACCCAGACACAAAATCATGAGCTTCTGAAATACCAAGAGTGAAAAGGTCTTAGATCCTCCAAAATCAGAAAGAAAAATAGATTACACACATAAGCAGAGAATCAGACCCATGTCATGCTTTGGTGGTAGAGAAATGCTTTAAAAAATTCTAAGAGAAAATGACTTTCAATATTGAACCCCATGCCCGAATTATTCATCAAGAGTGAGAACAGACCAAGAATATTCCAGACATGAAAGATTCCAAGTAAATAAATAAATGTCTGTCATGTGCCCTTTCTCTGGAACTGATGGAGAAAGTAAACAAGAAAGAGGAACAAGGAGGCAGAAAGAAGGAAACAGAATCTCTAATTCAGGAGAGAGTTGAAGGGGTTTTCCATGATAGTGAGGGATATATACTACAATGGCCACTCTGCTGCACTAGACAGCACCAAACCCCATCCTTCCAAGAGGGAGACATCAATGCTTTTCAATGAGCTTGTAAGATAGTTTGATGTGTTTGGATACATTGGGAGAAGTTTTACAATTCTGGCAAAATGTTTGATGTTGAACTATGATAGGTACCCATGAAATTAAACAAAAGGGAGGAAATGATACAATGTTGCTCCATGAAAAACAAAATTTATATAGAAAGGAAAGTGAATCAGAGAACACTACCCAGTTCATCAGCGAATAAAGTCTATCTAGTTATAAAAATATATCCAACTTTGTTTTCTCCCTTCTTTTCTTAGATTTGCTTGTATTTTCCCCTAATAATGATATCAATGAATTCTTAATCTTTCTTTTAAATACTGAAGACATTTCAAAGTTACAAATGTAAATAAAATATAAATAGATTAAGAAGTAAATTAAGACTTTCTTTAAAAAAAATAGTCGTAACCAAAAAATGACTTTACTGTTAAAAAAAAAAATTGAAACCTATGGTTCTATACCTAGTCAAATTAGCAATCAAATATAATGTAAAGTAAAAACATTTAAGATACAGAAAGATTCAGAATGTTTACTTTCCACATGTCCTC